TACATATCCTCTTTCCCTGGCGAATCTCCCTTCCTACCTCACGTTGTGGTTCATTGAGCTCTCTCTCCAGATCCTCCAGCAGAATCACTGCCTCTTCCCCACTCTCTGGACAGTGCTCCTGCACCCAGCCCTGCACCTCCTTGGGCAGGATACACAGGAACTGCTCTAGCACCAGCAGGTCCAGAATCTGCTCCTTCGTGCTCACATGTGGCCTCAACCACTGGTAGCAAAGATCCCGGAGTTGGGTGAGAGCCTCCCTTGGTCCAGGGGTCTCTTGGTAGCAGAGCTGTCGAAAGCGCCTTCGGAAGATCTCCCTTGCCAGTGGATTATTGCGTTTCAGTCTGGATTCCTGCATTTGGAGGTGACTTTCTGCCTCTGCCTTCACCGTCAGTTCTTCCCAAACATCACGAGCTTGAACATCCAGGGATATAACCTCCTTGGAGTCTGTATTCATTTTGATCTTGAACAGCTTAAAAGGCACCCTCTAGCTGAAGCTATGTTTTAGAAACACCTTTGGAAGTTCCCTCCTAAGCAGTAAAAATCATTGTTTAGGTAGAAAAATGGCAATAGTTAATGATAAAAAACTGATAATATAAGCAACTGTCATACACCTAAAGCTCTTCACTGAAAGTAAAGTGACTTGGTGACCAAAGATGAGAATAGTGGAAAATATAAGGTCATAATGTACAAAAAGCATAGGTTTTCAAGTTACCCAGACCTAGCTTTTATTCCAGTTCTAACTTTTACTAATTGTTCGACCTTGTGCCAGTTTCTTATCTTGTTTCAATCTCAGTTTTTTAATGTGAAAAAGAAATAGCAATAATACCATACGGAGTTCATGGAGGAATTAAGGGCCATACAGATCACTCAGAATGGTTAAAAAGTTCAGAATCACTGTATAAAAATCAAATTAGAGAAAGAATAAATGGAAATATTGCTCTCGCCTTTAAAAATAATTTTTTTTAATTTACTTATTTGGCTGCACCGGGTCTTATTTGCGGCACGGGGGATCATTTAGTTACGGGGGCGGGATCTAGTTCCCTGACCAGCGATAGAACCCGGGCCCCTGGCATTGGGAGCGTGCGGAGTCTTACCCACTGGACCACCAGGGAAGTCCCTGTTGCTCTTGTCTTTGACTAAATGAACTAACTCTTATTGAAATCTTTGAGTTTTTTAAATTAATCTTCAAAACAACCATTAAGGCTGGTTTCATTTTTACTAAATTTACAGAAAGTAAAGCTTAGGTCGACTGCAAGTCCTGTGAGCTTTCCACACTGCTCTGCTGCTTCCTAAGAGTAACAGCCAACACTGCACAACAGTCTACAACATGCTTTCAGATACAAGACCATATTTAATCCTCACAACTACTCTCTGATGTTTGATTACAATCACTATTTCACTAGATAAGAAATGTGAGCCAGGGGAAGTTAAGTAAATTTCTTAAGGTCAAATTCTTTGTACGGACAGTCCTAAGAATCCACAGAAGCTCAAGAGAAAAGTGTGCTCATATCCAGGCAGTGCCTGAGACCCAGGAGGACTGAGTGTCTCCAAAATGTCAGGAGTGCAGACCAGAAGCTGAATTCCAGCTTGACAGGCTCTGTGGCAGACAGCTAGGGAATCAGAATCCGGGGCTTAGGGGTGGGAGGGGAAGAGCAGGGCGCCCTGATTATGTACCTTTAATTTCTAGGCTCCCCAGGGATTTGTATGCACTCCAAGGTTTGAGAATCAATGAACTAAGGGAAAGGGAATCGGAAAATGTCACATTCTGCACTTGACAAGCAGTCCATTCAACGCCCCTTCATCTGCTTTTAGAACCAAAGAGTGAGAGTGTATAGACACTGGCTCTCCACGAGGAAGGCTGCAAAAAGTCTTTACAAATTTGTCCTTAACTTCCTTGTCCCCGAGGATATTTCCCCAGACTCCAGGCGTCTCCTGCCCTGAGTCCTAATCCTGCTGCCGTTATTCACCGCAGTGACCCTCCCCGAGACCTCTCCCGCGTAACGGTCCCCCCAGCCCGGGTGACGGATCGGCTCCAGGATCGCGGGGCACGACCACTGCCCCCTCCCACCACTCCGCCCTCCCCGGGGCCGAGGCTCACTTTCCACACCCCTTTCTCAGCCACACCCACCCAACCCCGGTTCCCGGGCCGACTCACCGGACCTGGAAAAGGTGAGGAGTTTGGGGGCTCCCGCCCCGACGCTGGGATGAGCGCGCCGGGAACAATGGCCCTGCGGGAAAGATGCCAGCCCATCGCGGGGCCCACCGCGCACGGGCACTTCCGGCTGGTCTAGGATTCAGTGTCTCGTTTCCTACCTCCTACGCGTGCCTCACCTGGAACCAGCAGCCAATTTCCTGGGCGTCCCGTTCGATTTCAACTGTGAATCACATAATCAGAATTCGTTACGTGTGTGGGCCCCAGATAGGTTTTAAACTGAAAACACAGATGAAGCACAAACCGTTAATTATTGAAAATGCTTATTTTTAACACATTTAAAAAATTAATACATTACCTATGACTTTTTAAAAGGCTCAGACAATGCCAAAATTAATAAAGTAAAAGGTGAAATCCCATCCTGTCCCTCCTAAGCCTCAGTTCCCTGAGATAACCGCTGTCACCGTTAGCTTGGAATTTGCATGTATAATTCTCATCTCTGTCTCTCTCACACGCGTTAGATAGATAGATGGATAGACAGGCATTGAGCTATTTTACATTTAGCTTTACCCCCATCACTTATTTTAACGTTTTCACGTCATGTATCCCAGACATCTTTATCAGTCAGGCAGGCCTAACTCATTTAGTGGCTGCATAATAATAGTACATCAAGTACATGCCTGGCAATTTATTTGACCAGGCCCCTACATATTGATAGAGGTCTTCTTTCCTTCCTACTTTTCTTCCCTCCTTCCTTCCTTTTTTAAATTTTTTGGGTTTTTTTGTTTGTTTGTTTTGGTTTTGGTTTTATATGTTTGTTTGTTTGCTACAAAGTTGTCTGCATTCTTAGTAGTAATATAAAATCAGTCCAAAACCTATTAAATTACCTTTATTAGTACCAAAGAGCATAATTATAAGTACTGTTTGTCATTCATTAATTTTATTATGCCAAACAGAATGGTGGTAATTCATAGATTAAACTATGTTTTGCTTTGTTTTAATGGAACCTCGTTTATTTATTTTATCACAGTAATAAAAAAGCATCTTGTATGCTAATGGAGGTTTCATGATGGTTTTTTTTTTTTTTTTTTTTTTTGCGGTACGCGGGCCTCTCACTGTTGTGGCCTCTCCAGTTGCAGAGCATAGGCTCCGGATGCACAGGCTCAGCGGCCGTGGCTCATGGGCCCAGCCGCTCCGCGGCATGTGGGATCTTCCCGGACCGGGGCACAAACCCGTGTCCCCTGCATCGGCAGGCAGACCCTCAACCACTGCGCCACCAGGGAAGCCCCCATGATGCATTTTAACTCCAAAACTGTAGCTGTGTAAATTTCTTTAGTTGTTTTATGCAACCTAGCCATCTGAGGTCATTAAATAAGCTCAAGCTTCATCCTTTACTTCAGTTTCTTCCAAATATCCAATAACTGTATATTAAGAGCACCAGCATGAAGAAAACTTGCCCCCAATCCTGATCACTTTCTCCAGCATACCTCACTTGCAAAGCCCTCAGTACAACTTTCCTAAAAACTATAAAATGGGAGTAAATGCTCAACTTCTCTTGGGCTTTAAATGTGTTATTCTCTTCCATTTTTGATGCCTATCTGTGACAAGTAAACACAGTTTTCATGCTCTCAAATATCTCACTAACAGTTAATTAGGTTCTTTAACTGGTTTATGTGTGCTTGTTAAGTAGGTCAACTATAGGACTCAGGCTGGTTAGACTGTAGGATCAAGTGGACAGCACATTGGACTTCCTTGTGGTCCAGAGAAAGACTGGCTCCCACTTGTCTGTTTGGAGGAAGATTTCCCTATAGCAGTACCTTGATGAGTGTCTTGGTACAGAAGGGATTATTTTTAACTTAGAATTGGGACTTTCTACTCAAAATATTTAAAATGCCATTAGCTCAGAGACAAGAAGGAATGCTGACTACATGGCTTACTAAAAAGATCGAGGGTCACCTGAATCTGGAAACAGGCATATTGGGATACTGACTCTACTGTGTGTTATGTCGTAAGCTCAAGAAAAGAAGAAGGAAGAGGGGAGGAAGGAGGAAATGTTTTGGAGGATTGGTAACACAGATATTGAGGGAACTAGCTGGTATGTGGTGAGATTCAAGTGTAAAACTATTTGTGTCCCATAGAAATCTTCACTAACCCACCATGTAAGAGGTTTCAGTAAGCAAGTGGGTACGCTGATCTGCCCTATGGATGTCAGCAACTGTTTTTTCAGCTCAGTGTTTGATCAAGGAACTTTTGAACATGGTGACCATGACTACCATGATAAAGGATGTACATACTCTCAAAAAAAGAAAAAAAGGCTTTCTTTCACTAAAGCTAATCAAGACAGCACCACTGTTGAACCACAACAAATCTGAAACCCTAGATATGGTGTAATATCCCAGTGGGAACAGCCAGTCACCTAATGGCAAGTTGATTACATTGGACTCTCTATAACAGAGAGAACAAAATCTTACTTCAAAGCAATAGACACTTGTGTTGGATTTGGGTTGGCTTTCTGTGCCTACCATGCTTCTGTCAGTACTGACTTGATGAAAGTTCTATGCACACCAGCCCCAAATTAGTTGGACATTAAAATGAAATGATTTTTCTCTCAATCTCTATTATTAATTGGGTACTTGTGAATCCTTTCCTGTCCTTTAATGATGGCCTGACAAATCCCAAGCTTTCTGGTCAATTTTATGTATTAAAGGTCTCATCCAATTTGTTTCTAATTTAAAATTGTATTATCTATTGAATAAGTTATAGAGCCACAGATTCAAAATACAAAAAGTACAAAAGGGAATACATTGAAACATCTCCCTTTGACTTTTCTCTTCTGTTGAGCTTGACAATGGTATTGCAGTTCTGTAGGAAAATATCCTTATTTTTTAAGATTTTTTTTTTGGCTGCACTGTGTGGCATGTGGGGTCTTATTTCCCCAACCAGGGATTCAACCTGTGCACCCTTCATTGAGAGCACAGAGTCTTAACCATTGGACCACCAGGGAAGTCCCGGAAAATGTCCTTGTTTTTTAGAGATGGGAACTGAAGTGTTCAAGGGTGGTAATATCATGATGTCTATAATTTGCTATCAAATACTTCAGCCAGAGTATGTGAGAGAGAGCGCAAATATGGCAAAATGAATACTTATAAATGTATGTGAGTATATGGTGTTCGTTACACATAAACCTTTGGGAGTAACTGTGTTTCAGAATTCAGATTTTTTAAGACTATAAAAAAAAAAAATCCGAGTTCAGTTCACTTCGAGATTTGCCTCAGATGAGTTTTAGTGCCAAATTCATGGGGGAAAAAAGTTTTCAGAATTTTATAGATTTTGGAACTGTGGATAAGGGATCCTGGATATGTACTAGTCTCCCTCTCTCTCTCTCCTCCCACCACCCCCCCGTCTATTTAAACATTTTCAAATTTAAGAACTATTTAATAAAAATTTCCATACTACTCCTACCCGCCGTCACCTAATTTCATCCCCTAGAAACAGCCAAAACCTTTGATTTCTTCTGTAGGTTTTCAGAGATATTTTATACATATAGAGGCAAATATTTATTTATAATTTATCTCCATTATTTTACACAAATAGTAGAATATTATGCATACACCTCTCCATTTTGCTTGTTTAATTTAACAATATATCTTGGAGTTTTTCCCATAGCCATAGACATAGATTTACCTCTTTATTTTTGACAGTTGTATAATATTTCATCATGTAGATTTTTTTGTGTGTGTGTAGGCAGTCCTCTATGGATGAGCAATTAGGTTATTTCCAATTATTTTCTATTTATAAACCATACTAAATTAAATAGTTTCATACATACATCATCTTACCCATGTATGAGTATATCTCTAGGGTAAATTCCTAGACGTAGAATTTCTGAGTCAAAGAATATATGCACTTATGTATATAGACTACTAAATTGCCCTCAAAAGTATTAGTAGTTATGAAAATTTGCAGCTCTCTAATAATATCTGAAAGTGATACCACCCCCAATCTTCATCAAACTTTTTGATCTTTGCCAAAAGAAGAAAAATGGTATATTATTGTAGTATTAATTAGTATTTCTTTAAATATGAACAAAATTGAATAAATTAATATTCATGTACATTTTCTTTCTGTGAAGTTTGTGTTCATACCCTTTCCCTTTTTCCTTTTGTGACGGTCTTTACACTGATTTGCATGATCATTTTATATTAGGGAAATTAGCCCGTTGTGGTAATTTGGAATTCTTCCACTCTAGTTTATGTTCATTTTAGTTACACAGAAATTTTAAATTTTTAAGTAAATTTACTAATCCTTTATGTTTCGTGTGATTTCAAGAAAGGCCTCCCTTGTGCCAAGACTATAAAGGAAAATTCTCATGTGGTTTCTTCTAGGAATTTTATGGTTTTATTTTTTTCCTTTTAAAATTTTTGAACCACCTAGAAACTTTTCAGTTGTAAAATTTGAGGTGTGGATTACACTTAATTTTTTTTAGATGTCTACCCAGATGTCCCAGTACCATTTACTGAATGATCTATCTTTTCTCCACTGACTTGAAATGCCATTTTAATCAAATTCTTAAATATTTGTGCCTACTCTTGGATTTTTCTATCCTGTTCATACTACAATGTTTTATTCATTATAGCTTGTAATATGTTTTAAAACCCAAAAGGCCTGTGTCTTCTTTGCTATTCTTTTCTGAATTTTCCTGACTACCAATGCTTGTTTACTTTTCACATAAACTTTAGAAGCTGTTCATCCAATCTGAAAACAAAATTCTATGTTAATTTTTATTGGCATTATATTAAACACCTAGACTAACATGTAGAGAAAATTGATATGCCTTCCTCTCCATATCTTGATTCAGTCAACAATATTTAAAGTTTTCTTACTATTGATCTTGTAATTTGCTCTTAAATTTATTTCTGAACAAAACGAAAAGACAACCTACTGAATGAGAGAAAGCATTTGCAAATGATATGACTGATAATGGGTTAATACCCAAAATATATAAACAGCTCATACAACTCAATATCAAAAAACAAACAAACAACCTGATTAAAAAATGAGCAGCAGGGCTTCCCTGGTGGCGCAGTGCTTGAGAGTCCGCCTGCCGATGCAGGAGACGCGGGTTCGTGCCCAGTTTCGGGAAGATCCCACATGCCACGGAGCGGCTGGGCCCGTGAGCCATGGCCGCTGGGCCTGCGCGTCCGGAGCCTGTGCTCCGCAAAT